CCCTCTGGGATTGTGAGACCGGGAGGAGCAGCGCACAACCTCCTGGGAGTGTCGTTCCCTTACGAAGGCAACATCAAAAGAACTCTTGGAACTTGAAGCATCAGAAGATCTCAGAGCGAGGAGGACTTTGCAAAGATCTCAGAGTTAGATCTTTCTAACCCTTGATTTCCTCCTCTTGTGTCATCATATCTGAAACTACAGAGGGGAATTGCCACCGAGGTTTTAGAGCAATCCATGGTCTTGATTCCCCCGTCATCCTACGCTCACTGGTTAACACCTGACATTCCAGCACAGTCTCAGTTTTTCTGCTGACTGCCAGATGTTAGGCTCTTTGGCAAGACAGGAAGAACTCCTGAGATTCCCATGTCCTGGAAAGCAGGCATAGTTGTCTGTAGTTGAAAGTTCAGGTTGGCAGGCAGGATTAAATTATAGCACAGTTATAAAAAATATGTCCACCACAGTGTTGGGCACACTTTAAGGGCATAGCTCAGACACTGAAATGGAAGTCAGGACACTGGGTTCTAAGTCTGCTCTATTCCCTCACTCTCTTAGACCTCAGTTACTTTGAGGTGCAAACCAATTCTTGGTTATTTTGCTAACATCTAGCTTCTGACAGTCGTTCTGCGGATAGGATTTCAGATTCTACATTTCTTACAAGTCCTCAGTTGGCAATATTGCTGGTTTGTTGTTAAATTTGGGATAGAAAGAAACTGGACTCTATTCCTTGTTAAAACTCTCCAGTCACACAGAATTAGTTTTTGATACAGGGAAGAGTGAAAGAGAAGGGGAGGAGAGGAGAGGAGAGGAGAGGAGATCAGGTCCCGAAGGGAAACACTGACGTTGGGATCAGGAACGCCAAGCAGAGGATGTGAAAGTACCCCAGGAAGCCCCTGCGCTTGCAGTTGTGTCGGGCACGCGCGTGTTCATATTCTGTAGCAAGGCTCCAATTGTGCTTCCAATTGCGTTGCTTTCAGCATTGTTTCATTTTGTTTTTTCAAAGCTCTCTATTTCATTTGTTTTGCAGAATGTAAGCATTTCCTTCACCATTAAGTTTGACAGATGCCCACAGATGATTTTGTAAAAGCAGTAATGACAGCGGTGAGTGTGTTACCCTGTCAAAGGAACACTGCTTTGTAGCTGGCTCTTATTCCTGGTTTCTTTGTGGGCCAATTTTTTAGACATAAGAAACCAGCACTGATGAATTTCATATCCCCCAGGGACAACCATAAAGATAATGAACTGCCACTGCTATAGGGTCATAAAGAGTGGTTTGTTTCATCCGTAGAAACAAGAATGAAAAAGGCAAACTTAATCCAAAATCAAGGGCTAAGAATAAAATTTCTGAGCTCAAAATTCCATTTCAGCAATAAATAGTCTATTCTGAAAATATCTGCAGTGAATCTTATTTGTGGATGTTGTAAAAAATTACTAGTTACATGAAAATAGTTAGCAATACATACGTCTATTTCATTGCCCTGCAAATACTATATATCTGTGCTCAAGCAATATGGAACTTACAAAATTCATGATCTAATGGACGTATAGTCACATTAATATGAATAATTTAGGGATGTTACTACCCTTTCTTTTCATTCTCCGTGTGCTCCTTGGCCTCCTATATCCATCAGCAAGCATTTGCTGAGAACTTGCAATGGAGGGTCATTGTGCTAAGACCTCAGAGAGTTGATATAGTGCCCTTGAGTTACTATAATTAAGTCCTGCTGAATATGATCCGGTACTTTCCATCGCACTGTGGACAAGGTTTCTGTCAGAATGCACGTATCTCTTTACTTCCATTCAAAAATGAGTCACACGAGGATGATAAGTCTCATATTTTGGAGACTGTTAGTTAATTATGCCTTCAGCACTCAATAAGAACCCTCCAAATTAATTCAACCCTTGGACATCTTAACAGGTAACTTCGCTGCATGTTAGTGTCATGAAGCAAGTTCTCAGTCGCTATTGTGCGCACCTGCCACAGACTAGAGCTGAATCAAACTCTTGGCTCCATACGCTTCTAGAAGACTACGCTTTTGGGAATGGCTGCAAACAACCAGTGTGCAAGTCTCCTCGTCTCTCACATATAAGATTGAGTTTAGGATTACAATAGTCAAGATCCTTGGCGTTATTTGGTGTTATCAGAAAGATGTTTACTTGTGTTTTATTAACTATGCAAATGAATTTGACTGTATGGATCCTAACAAACTATGAATCACATGGGAAGAATAGGAATTCCAGAACACTTCATTGTGTTCATGCAGAACGAATATGTAGACCAAAAAGCAGTCACACAGGCAGAACAAGGGAATACTGTATATTTTCAAACCAGAAATGGTGTGTGCCTGGGTTGTATCCTTTCACCATGTTTATTCAGTCTGTATGCCGAACACATGATCTGTACTACATGAAGCACATGGCATAAGGGTTAGAGGAAGGCTTAATAATGCCCTGCAACATGCAGCTAACACACCTTGCTCACGGAAGATGAAGAGGCCTTGAAGCACTTGCTGATGGAGGTCAAAGAGTGCAGCCTTCAAGACAGAGTGCAACTCAATGTCAAGAAGATAAAATTCCCCAGAGCTGAGCCAATAGACAACCTCATGCTGGAAGAACCGAGAAAACAACTGATGTTGTCAAGCATTTAATTTTACTTGGATTCACATCAAAACTCACGGAAGCAGCGATGAAGAAATCAAATGAGGTCTTGCTTTGGGTAAATCTGCTGAGCAAGGCTTCTAGAAAGTGTTAAAGAACAGAGATGTAACCTAAGTGATTTTACTTAAATTTAGTGTAGTTAGAAATATCCCTTTTATTAAATATGGCTAGCCTAAGGTGCTTAATGTAGACTCTGGGGAATTTTTACAACTCACTACGTTGCTGAAAGGCAGAGAGGCTGGATGTGGATGTCTTCTAGAAAGATCAGAGAACGTTGAGCATCTTCTCTTATTTACCTGACTGCCAGTAATTGAAAGCTGGGTCCTGCTATCCAGGTAGTCCACAAAGACATCCTGAGACTAGCCCCAAATTAAAAGAACTTTATTGTTCTCTTTGCTTGTTCATGGTCAGCAATTGTTTCCCGGAAACCTGAGTTAATGTAAAACATCTATACATGACACCTGAAGTATAAATTCCGAAGTAAAAGGTATACTGTACATTCCCTATGGATTCTGATCTCAAACAGAATGCCGGATCGCAAAACAGCTGCATTGCTGCTGGCCTCTGGCTGGTGTCACCTTCTAAAATAAACCTGTTCTTTCTTCCTCTGACTTGGACTGAGTGAATTGGCTCCACTGTTTGCTCCAGGGTACAGAACTTGATTTGCATCGATGTCATTTTGAGGACAAGGTGTACCTGCCCCAGGCCATTCACCCACCGCATATGCATGTGAACACTGGAAACCTAATAAAGAAGGCAGCAGAAGAATGGATGCATGTGAATGATGGTGCTGATGAAGAATATTGAAAGTACCATGGACTGCCAAAGGAACAAGCAAATCTATCTTGGAAGAGGTACAGCTAGAATGTTCCTTCGAAACAAGGACAGTGAGACTTTGTCTCATGTACTTTGGACATGTTATCAGGAGAGATCGCCCCTGGAGCAGGGCACCATGCTTGGTAAAGTAGAGGGGCAGCAGAAAAGATCCAGGCAATGGGTCAGCACAGTGCCTGCCACAATGGCTCAAACGTAATATCTATTGTGAGGATGGCACAAGGCCAGACAGTGCCTTGTTTTGTTGTCCATAGCGTCACGGTGATGAGAGAGTTATGAGAATAGGGGTGGAGCCCACGTTCTCAATCAAATCACAGCCTGATGACACCTCCTTGGGGGTGTGGCCTTTTGTAAGTGAGAGACCAAGCAGGGCTGAGATCTTTTGGGACCTTCCACTTCTCTTGGAGCTGGATCCTGCCTTTGGTTCATTATCTCTCATTGGGTCACTTGCCAATCCCAGGAGCTGTCAGCAGACTGCAGACAGTGGATTCATTTAATGCATTCATTTGGCCGAATTTGCATTCATTTGCCTCTGCAGCCACCAGCCTGTTTGCTTCTGCCTCCTGCCTTGTTATCCTTTTTCATTTTTTGTCAGCTTTCACAAGCATCAGGACAATCCTGACTTACCTACTTCTATAGCGATATAAGCCATTCTCTACTGCAAACCTCTTTCTATATACAAACACAAGTGCCATGGTTTTGCTTCTCTGGAGACCCAACAGAACCGTCGCCATGAGTCCGGATGGACTCAATGGCACCTTACAGCAACAGCAACAACCTGGAACATTTAATAGCAGCTATCAAAGTTTTTCTTTGTCTTTCTTTAAAGAAGAAGCCATGTGAGCTTTTTTCATTTGTGCTTAGTGAATGAAAAAGGCAGTTATTGAGGGCTGTAGTGTGATTTAAGTCTAAAGTGATTTCTGGAGATGTTGTAAGACCGTGTTATGTTCTCTAGGGGTAAACATGGAAACCACAATGACTGTATTGTAAATCTGTTAACACCCTTGCATCGTATCTTGGTAACCATTGTTAATTTGTGCTACTTTGCACGTGGATTCCAAACTTCAGAGGATTATCTGTAGTAAACAATTTAAATGTAGCAAGAGAATCTGGATTGTAATGCTGCTTTTGAAATATGAAATCTTAAGTCACAAATCAGCATGCTTTGGTATGTGATCCTGAAAACACCCCATGCTCTCTTCAGAAGAACAACATTAAAGTCCAATGTAGGGCAAAAATGAAGCAGAGGTAAAGCCAAGATACCAAGATTTTCTGGTGACTTGTGTGTTCCCTGATGGCTCTGGGCTGCATAAGACATTATTTTAATCCTATAAGAGCAAATTTCTGCCATGTTTTTGAATATTTATGACTCGTTCCTACTGAATTAGTGAATCACTGTTCACAACTCTTGGGCTCCAAGCAAGTTTTATTCTGAAGGCAATGTATAGAGAAATAAAAGGGAAGGATGGAAAGACCGGAAGACTAAAGAGATTTAATCTTTTTTTCCTTACCTCTCAATCTATAGTAAGCCTGAAGACTGGCGAGAATTTGTTTCATGGATTCTTGTGGGCAGACTTTAACCCCAGTTGGGGAAAAGACGGATCTTTTTGCTCGATGCTTTGCCAAATTGAATATCCTTCTCAGGGTGGACCCTGGGAACATTTCTGTGGGGCCTTCTGTTGTTCCCATCCTTGGGGCATTGCCCATGTCTTTTATTTCAGAATGATAGATTTTCATGGAGATATCTGTATAAGAAAGATTGGTCTTGTGAATATATGTGTTTATATGATTTATGTGACACAGAGATAAATGAATGAGATAAAATAATAACTATAATCCTTTGCTTTTATGAAGTTTCTACCTCACTGCAGCTGTCAACTATACTTTTCCAATTATGAGGCATTTTCAGGAATTAGAAAATAGTATAAGGAGCTGATTAAATGTATTTTTTTGAAAACAACTTCCCAAATCATCTTGCCTTTAGGAACTGCCAAATAATGAAATCATTTCCCACACATCTCTCTAAAATCATTCCCCACTTAGCACTCAAGCCTCCCGAGAGATGCTTCTTTTGATAGACGTTATAATTCAAGCGGGGAGTGCTGAAGCATTGTGGTATCCAGAGGTGTACTCTTGATGAGGAAATGGGCTGCTTATAAAATCCTAAGGGGGAACAAAATCCAGAGAAGTAACTTCTCTACCTTCTAGTGGCTGCCCTAGGATTTCTGTAAAGCAGAGGCTCAGGGGACGGGAATCCGATTGAAAGCAAGTGGGGGTGGGGGTGGGGGGGGAAGGGAAGCAAAGAGATCTTTGAGAGTTGTGGTTTGCAGAGCAAGCTTACTTTTGCATAGGAGTGATGGCAGGAAGGATGGAGAGAGCAAAGAGAGGAGATGGCTGGAGGAGATTCATGCTGCTGGCACTGCTGCGAGTGTTCATGCAAGGACTAACCCGCATTTTTAACTTTCTGGACACTTCCTAATAACATCTTAGCTTCATAAAGCACTTTTTCACATATATTATCACATATTTTATCTCATGCTAGGCTCAAAAAAACCGTTGTTTAGGTAGAACAGACACCCATTTGTTCCCCTCAGTCTAGTACCTAGTTGAGTACTGTGAAGGAGTCCTGGACATGTCATGGTTAAAGCACTCACTCAGCTGCTAATCAAAAGGATAGTGGTTCGAACCCACTGGAAGCTCCCTGGGAGAAAAGAGCTGGGGAGTTGCTTACATAGATTACAGTCCAAGGGAACACTATGGGGGTGGTTCAACTCAGCCCTAACGAGTTACAGTGAGTGAGAATGGCACAAAACCACAACCCACAGCAGGTGTCGGAGGCACAGCAGTGCAGTGTATGTTAACACCGTAGCCAGGTTTCCAGTCCTGCTCTCTGATTACCTCTCATTGATCCATTCTGTCATTTGGTGGCAAGGTCAGAGGTTCAAATCCATCAGCTCTTCGGCAAGAGAAATATGAAGGTTTCTGCTCCCATAAAAATTTGCAGCCTCATGAACGGTATGTGAGGTCAGAGTCAGAATTGACTTGTGGGCAGTATTTTGAGAAAATAATTTCTGTAGATGGGTGAGGCCCACTAATTATGGACCCTTGAGATTCCAAGCATATGGTTGACAGGTATTTATCTTCCTATTTTTCTAGAAAAGGCTCCCAGATTCATATCTTCTGATCTTTGGTAGAGAAAAGACTAGATTGGACAAGATTTGAGCTTGAGAGCAGCTCAAATCTTGTTATCAAGCAGAAAAATTCCTCCTTTGTGTGATGGTGGTGGTGGTGGTGGTGGTGTAGTAGAGAGCGTCGGAGTGGGCACACATTCTCTATGACTTTGAAGAGTCTCAGAATGATACATTGGCTTTTGAGCAATGGCACCATTTTTGAATGAATCTCCAGGAAGGAAGGAGGGGAGAGTGTTGGTTGTGTCTCCACAGAATTGGAACGGGCATACAGCCCCCATCAGGACACGCCAAATCAGAGGAGCAATGTAAAATGAGGAGGAATACACGAAGAGAATGG